TCATCTCTGCCTCTATCTCTGGCATCACTGTTTCTCTGGGTAGGGTTCCGCTCTCCACTCTTCTCCCTTGATGGTCCCAGGGACCTCCTCTCCTAGACTGAAAAGTTAATCACTCCCCTCCTTGCTACAAAACATCTACCTTAATCTGATAGACAGATATTACTGCAACTGTTTCTCTAGAAAACCCTGACTAAGATATGCCCTATGATTCTGTTGACCAAAAAATAGATGCAATTTGTTTCTGGAACATTAAGTGGGAACAGGAAATAGAAGTAAATGTATTGAATTGTTAATTATCTCTTCTAGAAAAAGTCTTTGTAAACTCCCACCAAATAACTTTTTCCTGGGTAAGAGAAAGTGGGGGGAAGACCATGATGGATTATATGTTTCTGCTGTGAATGGTTTGTAATGGAATTAATTGTAATTGGTCAATTTTGCCATTCTGCTTAGCTTAAAATAAGCCATCTCAGAAGTAGAATGTGGGGCAGTGGGGAGAGGGGTAGGAGTGTGGGAATCTCACTACAATCAAGGAAGAAGAGTCAAGTGTTGAGCAAATCCTTGGAACTCAAGTTCCCTGTGTGTTGAAACTCCTTGATCCAGGAGACAGAGGTGTGACCCCAGAGGAGTACCAAAAGTGCAGAAACAGAACACAGAACAAGAGCACGTGACAAAGCAGCAGACTTCCTAGCCCACAGAGCATGAAAGCTGAATGACTTTGGGCAGGAGGCTCATTTGTGGAGTGGGGTGCTTCCAGGGACCTAACTGTGGAGCTAGGCTAGATGACCCATGGAGAGATAGTTCTGTCCCTTTGAGTTGGAGTTTATAGCATAGTGGAATGCTTTTAGGTATGTATCAGCAGCCCTAGAAGAGCTTTGTGGTATTGCTAAAACAGGAAACAGGACTGAGACCACAGACCCATGGTTGAGATGCCAAGGACTAGAGAGAGGTCTGTCTGCTGACATGACTGGGAAGAGGCTATCCTGAAAGAAAGAACTGTGCCCTGAGCATTTCTAATCCTTCATGGTAACCTGTTAACTTCCTTAATAACCCCACAACTGAGAGTATGGTGTCTGATCCTGGGTTGACATTGCAATGAATTACTGACCCCAATAAGTAGAGAGTGCTTTGGGATTGACGGTAGGTGCTGTTTTTTGCAAGTATCAATCCACATGCTGTTATTTGCTTTGGAGTCAACCCTGTATAGGGTTTCTGAGGAGCAGCAGATGAGTTTGAACTGCTGACTTTTTGGTTGAAATTGACCTCACATTCAAGTTCAAGTGCTAATCCTACAGCGCCATACCAAGACACTATTATAGAGGCTAATGTAACCTCTCCAGCAGTCACTATTTCAGCTGGGAAATACTCTAGCTCATTGGAGTTTCCTGAGAAGGATGTGGGTCTGATCATAAACAAATCACTCTCTGAGTTTGTTCCTTACACCTCCATGACATCCAGTTTGCTTGGTTCTCCTGGAAACCTTACAGGCTTTTGCTCTGGTCACTCCTTGATGAGTTTGGGAATCCTGCCCATTCCCTCAGAGGAAGTCATCTCTTCTGATCTAGTTGAGCAATTCATAGGTTAGTCGGGGAGGCTTCATCCTCTGAGACTCTGGAGACCCCTGATATCCAAGGTCAAAGTTAGAACCAAGGTATGTGAGTCCACAGAGACCATCCCCAAAGATAACATTTCTACATCTCAAGCAATTTTACTCTCTGGTTCCACGTTACTGTTTTTCCTCAGAATGTACACAGTCAAGACAAACTGGGGTCTCTGGGCTCCTCTTAGTGTAAATTACTATTGAAAATGAACACAATCATATGGTTTGGAGATAGAGTAACTTTGTTTTATGACACAATACTGTTTTTAAGATATGTATAAAATTTTAAAGGATTTCCAGCAGATTAAGAGTTTCTTCATGTGAACCAAACTGTACTTAATTTTAAATTTTGTTTCATTTGAGTTAACTATTGGTTTCTGATTTAGTATCTGAAAATCCACCCTCACATTATCAGAGCCCCATACCTGCTAATAATATGCAGATATATTTTGACCATTAGAACTAAATTTCTTTTAATATTACACTAATGGTATGTTACTGCAACAAATTTTGTAACATAAGAAGTCTCATTAAGAAAATCTTTTCCTACCAAGCTCTCTCTTGAGAGCCCCCTTAATTTCATTATTCCTGAGACTATAGATGAGGGGGTTCAACATGGGGATCACCACCATGTAGAACACAGACACCACTTTGTTCTGGTCAGTAGAGTAGCTGGGCTTGGGCATCACATAAATGAATGTAATGGTCCCATAGAACAGAGTGACTGCAGTGATGTGGGAGGTGCAGTTGGAGAAGGCCTTGTGGCGGCCCTCAGTAGAGCACATGTTCAGGGTGATGATGAGGATGTAGATATACGAGATGGCTATGACAAACACTGTGACCACAATGACGAATCCAGCAGAACATGAGGGGACTACAGCATGGATACTGACATCACAACAGGGAAGTTCAATTAAAGGAGCAAAATCACAGAAAAAATGATTGACCTTGTTTGGTCCACAGAAGAATAAAGAAAAGAAGGAAATTGTAAAGGAGAAAGCATTGACAAAACCACCTATATAAGCCACAGAGAATAACAGAGCACAGACTTGTGTAGACATTTTGGTTGAATAAAGCAGTGGGTTACATATTGCTACAAAATGATCATAGGCCATGGCAGCCAGTAGAAAGCACTCAACAGTTTCAAAGAAAACAGCTGAACCAGGTTGTGTGGCACATCCAAGATGTTGCTATTGTTGTTGTTAGGTGCCATCAAATCGATACCGACTCATATCAACCCTATGCACAACAGAACGAAACACTGCCCGATCCTGGGCCAACCTCACAATTCTTGCCACACTTAAGTCCATTGACACTGCCACTTTGACAATCCATCTCACTGGGTGTCTTCCTCTTTTTCTCTTACTCTGCACCTTGCCAAACATGTTATCCTTCTCCAAAGACTGGTCCATGATGACAAAATGTCTGAAGTATGAGTGACTGAGTTTGGCCATCCTGGCCTCCAAGGAGCACTCTGGCTGAACTTCTTCCAAAACGGATCTATTGGTTCTTTTGGCAGCCCGTGGCACTTTCAATATTCTCCTCCAACACCATAACTCAAAGACATCAATTCTTCTATAGTCTTTCTTATTAATTGTGCAGCTTTCGCGTGCATATGAGGTTATTGAAAATACCATGGCTTGGGTCAGGTGCACTTTAGTCCTCAAGCTGACATCTTTACTCTTCACCACTTTAAAAAGGTCTTGTGCAGAAGGTTTGCCTAATGCAATGCGTCATTTGGTTTCTTGATGCTGCTTTCATGTTGATCCAAGAAGAATGAAGTCCTTGACAACTTCAATCTTTTCTCCATTGATAATAATGTTGTTTATTGGTCCAATGGTGAGGATTTTTGTTTTCTTTACATTGAGATGCAATTCATACTGAAAGCTATGCTCTTTGATCTTCATCAACATGAGGTAGCACAGGAGGCACTCACTCCTCTATGCCAATAAATTGGGAATACAGTTATTTGGCTGACTGACTGGAAGAGATCCATATTTGTGACCATTCCAAAGATAGGTGACCCAACGGAATATAGAAATCATCAGACAATCTCTTTGATATCCCATGAGAGTAAGGTTTTACTAAAGATAATACAGAAATGGCAGCAAGCATACATTGACAAAAAACTTCCAGAGGTTCAAGCCGGATTCAGAAGAGTCCATGGAATGGAAGATATCATTGCTGATGTCCAATGGATCTTGGCTGAAAGCAGAGAATTTCAGAAAGACATTTACCTGTGCTTTATTGATTATGCAAAGGCTTTCGATTGTGTGTATCATGCCAAGCATGGACAGCATTGCGAAGTATGAGTATTCCCGAACACTTAATTTTTCTCATGAGGAAATCTGTACCTGGACCAAGAGGCAGTTGTTCGAACAGAACATGGAAACACCGAATGGTATAAAATTTAAAAAGGTATGTGACAAGGTTGTTTTCTTTCACCATACTTAACCTGGATGCTGAGCAAATAATCCAAGAAGCTGGGTTCTATGAAGAAAAACGTGGCATCAGGATTGGAGGAAGACTCAATAACAACTTGCGATATGCAGATGATACAACCTTGTTTGCTGAAAGTGAAGAGGGCTTAAAATACTTACTGATGAAAATCAAAGACCACAGCCTTCGTGCGGTATGGATTACATCTCAATGTAAAGAAAACAAAAATCCTCACCACTGGACCAATAAACAACATTCTTATCAA